TTTTTTGTTTTTATTTTTAATTATTAACTGATTTTTTATTCAAAGTCTCTCTCTCTCATCTCCTCTCAATTATTCGATTTCGATTTTCGTACTTGTCTGAAGTGATTTTCATATCAGTTTTTATGTTGATTGCGGTCGGCTCTTCTGTTGTCTGAATTAATTCTCATATCAGTTTTTACGCTAAATTCGTGTAATCTGTTTATGTTAGAATTGAGTGTTGACTTGGGTTTTGGCTTTCTGAATCAGGTTCAAAAAGGTTAAGGTTTTGTGGGGGTTTTGATTCTGTCTTTTTGAATGGAAGCTAATATGACGGCAGTTGTTCGGAGAATGGCTGCTTTTGCATTTGCTTCTGCCTCAGGTCTGCTTCAGACTCATCCCCTAGGGAGAGGTACTCTGAACAACTTCTTGCACTGTTCCTCTGTCTTAAGTTGTCGGATATCGGCTTTTTCCGATGTTAGAGACCGCAATATGTCATACAGAGGTAGATTGAGATGTCGGGTTCATGATTGTCATGCCGAGGATGCTGTTGATTTGTTCGATCAGATGGTTCAGTCTCGTCCCTTACCTTCCATCGTCGATTTCACTAAACTATTGAGAGTAATCATGAAGATGAAACGGTATGATGTTGTCATTTCCCTCTGCAAGAAAATGGAATTGCTTGGGGTTTCACATGATATCTACTCTTTGAACATTCTACTCAACTGTTTCTCCCACTCCCGTCAAGTGTTTTTGGGTTTATCTGTCGTGGGCAAAATCTTGAAACTCGGTTACGAGCCGAATGTAGTCACCTACACTACCCTAGCTCATGGTTTCTGTATCCACGGAAAGATTTCAGCGGCCTTAAGCTTGGTTGACCAAATGGTAGAAGAGGGATACAAACCTGATGTCGTAACATTTAGTACTTTGATCAACGGATTTTGCCTTGAAGGTAGAGTCTCTGAAGCATTGAGTTTACTTGATCAGATGCAAAAGATGGACTGTCAGCCCGATGTAGTTACATTTGGCATTGTTATAAACGGGGCCTGTAAGGCAAGAGATCATGCGTTGGCCATGAATCTACTCGAGAAGATGGAAGAAATGCATATTGAGATCAATATCGTAATTTATAATACGATCATCGACTATCTTTGCAAAGCCGGACACATGGAGGGTGCACTGAACCTTTTCGGAAAGATGAGTAGTTGTGGGATTGTACCAAATGTAGTAACTTTTAGTTCTATGATAAATGGTTACTGCAAGGCTAATAGGGTCGATGAGGGTCTTAATCTCTTTTATGAGATGTCTCGAAGAGGATTGGTTGCTAATGCGATTACTTACAGCACCCTCATCCAAGGGTTTTACAGAGTAGGCAACCTTGGTGCTGCCCAAAATGTTTTTATGGAGATGCAATATAAGGGTCATCGTCATGATCTTGTGACTTATAACATTGTGCTTGATGGACTCTGTAAGAATGGAAAAACGGACATGGCACTTTGCCTATATAATAAGTTGGATAAGAGTGGGATTGACCTCGATATACCTCTCCATAGTTGCATGATGCATGGTTTGTGCAAGGTTGGGAGGGTTGACGAAGCGTTGATATTATTTAATAAGCTTCTTGACAGAGGGGTGAAGCCGAATGTTATCATGTATAACATAATGATCTCCGGTCTTTGCGGGAAAGATTCACTCTATGAAGCCGAGAAGGTAATTGGGAAGATGAAAGAGACTGGTTGTTTTCCCGACGATGGTACGTATAACGCATTGATCAGGGGTCGTCTTAGAAGTCGCTTTCCATCGATGGTTATCGAGCTGATACGAGAAATGCAGAGCAATGGCTTTTCTATGCATGCATCGACCTCAAATATGATAATGGATATGATATATGGAGGTATATTGGATAAGGGGGTTTTGGATCTCCTCTCTTAGTAGATGCAAGTACTAAACGGCTGATGAGAAGAGCCAACATCGCATGGTTGTATGTTTGATGAGAAGAGCCAGAAACTTCAAGCTATCCAGGTAAATTATCTCTATGTTTCACTTTCTCTGTTTTCAATATCATAAATCCTGTCTTTGTTTGTTTGGGCACAGCCTGCCTCCTCATTGGACGTCTGATTGGATCTATTTTTTTTCCTTTTGTCATCCAGACAAGAGACAAGAGCCATGATCTTGGGTGTTCTGAGCGTTTTGATGTAAGAACACTATTGTCCCTGGAGCTTCGATCCACTCCGAAGCATGATTTCAGATGTCTTTTCATGACAAATCATTCTCCTCTTGTCAAGGCATGGTAAAATCAAAGACTCAATCAAATCGAGCCTCGTCTCAAAAAGCTGCAGAAACTCATGGCTCTTCGGTCGGAACTCGGACATCACGACCAACTTCAAAAAAACGACACAGCAGCTCGAGGGCATGGAGCAGAGGTAGTAGCAAATGATGTATTGAGGTAAGAACAATAGTGCCCCTGGAAGTTGAGATACTTTTTTAACCCTGCTTTTTGGGAAACTGCACAAGGTTCTGATGAAAACGCCCGTCAAGGCATGGTAAAATCGAACCCCCTGTTTTTTCCCTTTTGTCATTCAGGCTACCACAAGTATAGTAGACGTACCTGATTTGTTGGTGAACGGTTCTGTACCCTTTGACATTGATGACATTCCTCTTGATCTAGACATTGACCCCTTGAAGACTTTCTCGCGTCAAGCCCTGTGCCTGATGATATGGATTCATCAGCAACAGCAGATGTGAGAACAAGGAGACCGAGAAGAAGCAAAATGGGTGGGACAGAGCCAAACATATGGACAAGCTGACCGAACAGGTGGGTCTTCTCTGTTTCGAGTTTCAGTCAAACCCTAAATTTACAGCCTGCCTCATTGGGTTTTTCTGCTTGGATCTGTTTTTTTTTTCCTTTTGTCATTCAGGCAAGAGCCATGATCCTTGGGTGTTCCAAGTGTTTTGGTGTAAGAACACTGCTGCCCCTGGAGCGTCGATCCACTCTGAAGCATGATTTCAGATGCCTTTTCATGACAAATCGTTCCCCTCTTGTTGGGAGAAAAATCAAAGGTGAGAGAGTCTGTGATTTGTGTCTCATTTGTTACAAGAAGAAGAAGCAATGCAATCCGTGCGTCGAAAGAGGTCAGAATCTCTGATTTCCCCTATGTCCGAAAGAAACCAATCTCTGATATGCGTTTGTCGGCAACTAGAGATCATTAGCTGTTTGGGTGTTTTGTAATGTGTGTTTTGTAGCTTTCGGAGACGGGAAAAGGGCTAAACATGGGTGGAGGCCCAGAAGCTCCAGGGGGTCAATGGTGGATAATAAAAGGGAAGTTGGAGAAACACCTGGAGATAACTAAGCCTGTTGCCGAGGAGGAGCTGCCGAGTGGATTTCCATGGTGGATAAATACTCAGCTTCAATTTGATTAGGTTTTTGTTGGCCCGTGACCTGATCGTCTTTGGATTTGCGATTAAGCATGAGGAGATAACTAAGCCTGTTGCCGAGGAGGAGCTGCCGAGTGGATTTCCATGGTGGATAAATACTCAGCTTCAATTTGATTAGGTTTTTGTTGGCCCGTGACCTGATCGTCTTTGGATTTGCGATTAAGCATGATTCTCGGCTTTTATGGGTTCAAATAAATGTAGCATTGGGTACACATTTGTTCTTACACTTGTCTGGGATTGGATCCGACACTTGGGCGGTTGACACGTGGCGTTGTAGGGTCGCTTGTTCGTGATCTTGCTGAAATCATCTACATATATGTACCCACCGTTTCATGATAGGATAACACGTGCCCACTTGCATCAAATCCGCCAAGGTTACTGGTCAATAGTTTATTTTATTTTTTTTCTTAATTTATCTAACATGCATTCATTCACCATCTCGAAAAATAGAAGTCAGAATGATAACATGAGACATGAATCGAGTGATGATAAGCTCCTCACATTTATCCATCTCATTCATCGAACAAAGTTTCAATTCTATCACAAGGACTCAACTTTGTATGTAAAATCCAAGTACGGCAATACGTGGACTAAATCTGAAATCGATCCGACAAAAATCATATAAATTGTTAAGATTTTAATAGGAGGTTGTGTGAAATGCCAGTTTGGTTGAGTAGTGATCATATAGTTGTCACTAGGTTTTTGTTTTGCATAATGAAAAAGTATAAGACGAGTTGTGATGATAAAAATACTTACAAACAAATTTAACGAAATACAAGTGGAACTAAATGAAAATGTCCAACTAAATGAATCGTAACTTAGATTTATTTAAATAAAAAAAGACTGATTTCATATGGTTATTAAACCAATATTATTGTGATAAAATATACATATCATACAAATATAACTTAATCTTAATTTTTATTTATTTGGAATAAAGTGACCAAAATTAAGTTTGTAAAAAAAATAATACAACGATTTACACTAAATGAGACCAATAAAAGAGTCAAATGATTAGTATATATGTGTGGTAATACTTAACTATAAAAATATTCAGTATATTTCAAATATGGTGTATGAATTTGACGAAAAGCGTAGAAACTGGTAAGAAATTTTATAGGAGATCATGTGAATTGTCAGTTTTATTAGGTAGGGATAACATGATTGTTATTGGGTTTTTGTTTTTAAAATTTTTTAGAAATTTATCGGTCGGGTTTTGAAATGCATATTCTAAGTGAAATATCAGCAAAATCTGATCATCAAAGTTCAGGTATAATTAATATCATTTTTTTGAAACCTTAACTCCTATGATGGATAATTTATATTAGATATTATTTTAAAAAAATACAAATAACATAAATATAACATAATCTCAATTGTTTAATAAATATATTAACTAGATATCTATATAAAATTTAAATATTAATGAGATTGTATAATATATGTTATATCAATATATGTTATTTGTATTATATCAATATTTATTTATTTTAGTATTATATCAATATTTATTTTAAAATATTTGTTAAATTAATATATGTTATTTGTTGATTTCTAACTCTAACCAAATTTATATTATTGTCTAAAAATGATATTTTTCATTAGTTGTAAATTTCGTTGCAAATATACTTTCGATGTTCACTTTTCAACTTTTGTTTCTATATAATACCCACGAAAAAAAATATAAATACAGAAGTTATTTAACTCATTATCTCTCCAGGAGTTTAAAATTATTCATCTTTTGATTTATCAATATGATTTTAAAAATCAAAAATAAAAAATATATATTTAAAACTTTAAATTTAATATTAAAATTATTTAAAATTTATATGTATTTTTATATTACGCAATATACACCAATTATTTAAAATTTGGGTCTGGTAAATATCGTTTTATTTGAGATCCAAACTCTTATCATGGATGACTAATAAAACGATGATAGATCTATTACATATGAGAAAGTAAGTCAACTCCATCATTGTAAAATCGAATAGTTTATGATAGATCACGCTATGCGCGTGGATTATTACCTAGTATATATTAAATATATTGATATATATATATATATATATCAATATATTTAATTAAAAAATAGATTGAAAATATATATCACATGATATAATACTAATATTATAAAAGTAAAAAAGAGTGTGAGATGTGATGAAATATAGAAACACGTGTAGGGTTTAACTAATTATAAAAAATAAGTTAAATCTCCAAAATTTTCATCTATTAAATAAACATTTCGATAATAGACAAATTTTCTTTCCAAAAAATAATATATATTTTGGGTATTTAGGGTTTACTACGTTTTTATCTTTAAAATTTGATTCATATGATATAAATGAATAAAATAGAACATATATGAGTAATACGTCGTATTATATAGACATAAATCAACATTACTATGATTCACACAGTCAAACTGATCATATTAATAAGTTCAGAGTGCGAAAATAATAAATTCGCGAAATTTGTGAGGGTGCGACAAGTTTGACTAGTTTGACGGTGCGACGAGTATGACGGTGCGACGAGTCAAACTGGTCAAATGATAGTGTAAATTAAATTTTGAAGGTTCAACGTGGTATATAGGACATATTATGGCATATCTAACGTGTTTTTGTTATTCGTAAATCATATTGGAAAATAATATAATCTACCCTAAC